GTTGGTTGTGTCCCTTTTAAGATAGAGTCTCTGAGCTGCTGATGGCTTTAAATCCAAAAGCAAGCAGGAAGCGTCTGTGAAAATGCAAATTACCTATATGATAAACGAAGGAGAGAACTAGCAGCACAAAGGAGCTGCAGATAAAGGACATACCTGGTCAGCAAACAAATTGTCTAAATAAAAGGCATGGTATCACAAGATAATTTTAATAAATTTAATGATAACAAGTACCCCTGTAACAATGTATAGTGTGTATGATTTTTGGAAAAATCTTTTAAGGTCATATGGTAATGATGCTTCTCAGCTATTACCTGTAAATAAATTTAAAGCTGAACACAGCAGGAAAAACATTATAAACTTGGTTTGCTGTATAAGGAGGAAAACTGAGGTACCCCACCTCAGGGATTTAATGACTAAACAGTGGGATAATTTCCCCATAACCCTTAAAAGATAGAAGCTATTGAAACCTGGCCTGCCTATAGAACAAAAACAGGAAAATGTGGGGGCAATTCCTCCGTTTTGCCTGCAATCAGCAAGGGTATTTGTAAAAGAAATATTTTAAGCAATAATCTGGCACCCCAAAAGGGGTAGAAACATGTTCTTTTTGTCTTTCAGAAAATCAGGAAAAGTTGATGCCAGCTGAAAAGCAACCCAATACCATGAATCTACTGTCACAATAGAAATTGTGTTTTGTGTTCTGTGTTTTGTCTTGTTGCTAGCACTGTTGTGTGTTTAAAAAAAATACACAAGACCTGCAAGTAATTAAAAATAAATTAAACTCTCTGTCCCAGCTACAGGACAGCCTGACACAAAAACAAGTACATGCCAATGTAGACTTGGTCCAAATTGGTCTGGGTAACCTAAAAGGCCGATGGAATCTTTGGTAATGGCTTAATACTACCACATGGCTTATGCATAAGAAAAAAAATTAGAAATAGGAAACTACACAGCCATAGCTATGGGATGCACTGAAATGCAGATACTTGCCCTAGCTACTTTGGAACACAAAATGTTCTGGGTCATATTGGGAAATATTAAGGGTTTGATGCATTTGTTAAAACAAAGAAAGATCATTGTTCGACACTTATCAATATGAATGAATGCAATAGGTTTCCAGTATTGTAAAACCAGACTTGTTAATGGGAGAAATTGTTGTCAAAATTGCACACCAACAGTCCCTGGAGGCAAAGGTATTGAAGGTTAGCCCACTCCCCATATTACACATGGGATCCTTCTGGCTACCCTGGACCTCGAGCCAGTGGGCTGGGGAGGGAGGGAAGCAATTGGACACTAGAGGTTGTACCGAATGGACTCCTCAAAAGTGGATGTGCCTCACCTTGCCTGTTGCCCCAGAACCTTGTAGTAAAGATACATCACTAGGATCATGTATGTGGGATGAATTGGAATCAAACTGAAACTGCCTCGCAGTACCTTCTTTTGAATAGGCTACATAGAAAGCGACACTGACGATTATAAATCTTAGTGTCAAAAGGGGGATTATGTTGGATCATATTAAAGAAGTTCTGTATTAAAATCACAAATGAGTTTGATTCCCCATAGTTTAAATTCCAGGGTATTACTAATTAAGAGGTCTCTTGGTTTTTGGTACTGTTTCTCTCCCTCTCTGTGTGAAACTTGCAAGCTGCTAATTGTGTTAGTACATTCTAAGACAGAGTCTGTTCTCAAAGCAATTCTTTGTAACAACAACTACTCACACAGAGAGAGACTCAAAGCAATACTTTGTAACAACAGAAAAGCACCCAGAGACTCCCCGCCCTTTTGTTGTATTCATCTTGCTTTGTTAACAATTGTGATTAAAATAGAGATAGAGGATGTATGTGGATGGATGCTTGGTGTGGATAATAACTGAATGATCAGGGAGGTGTCAGCTTAAGAATGCAGTGTCCATCGGCTGAAGAAGGCGTCAAGTGGAAATAACCAGAGGGCAGACTGGAAATAACCGGAGGGCAGACTGGAATCCACCCAACAGCCTCAAGAATGGGAGAACCAAAGAACAAGATAACATCTAGCAGCATGGAGCCGTCAGGAACCGTGCCATCTGCTGATTGATTCAGCAACAGCATGATGAAGCAATTCCCATAGACTGGCATAGGAAGAAATTCCTATAAAAATGGACTCTAGAAAGTGAGAACTTTGGGGGGGTCTGATTCTGCAAACCAACTTCCAGGAGCATCAGATGAGCATCTGACAAGGCCCTGCTCCCTCCTCATGTCCAGGCCACCTGGCCTGTGGCTTGGCGTGAGCAACTCTAAGGCTGGTAACTATGATAACAACCTTGCAGAACGTCTGTGTGTGTGTGTGTGTGAATAAATATGAGATTGAATGGAACGTTATAACTATGACTAACTGCTTACTATGATTCTTTCTGTATTCACAATAAATGTGGTATTTTGCCTTTTTCCCCTTAATAGGAGCCTGCTGGTTTTTAATTTATTGGTACAACAGAGGCCCATATAGCAACTCTACAAATGTTCGTGATAGGTACATTGTGCAGGGAAGCCGTGGGAGTCTGATAAGGCTCTAGTGGGATGTGAGTGAATCCCCATGAGGGACTGGCAGGCGCACCGATGACAGAATTTTGTGCGATTATGGATCTACTTGAGAAGTCTTTGTTTAGAGATGGTGCTCCTTTTGGAGCATTCGGTGATGGATAGAAACAGTACGGGTGATTTATGGGATGGTTTAGTCCTGTCTATGTTAACAATGAAACTAAGTAACTGCAAAGTAGCGAGGCGCTGCTGATTGCTCCTACTCGAAGCCAAGGGCAGTAGAGAAAGAACTGAGAGGAGGTTGGTCGCACAGCATCGGTTAACTGCCTGCAGCAGTGTGAGGCAGGGACCACACATGTGCGACCCAACTGAGAACTGCTACCAAAAGTCTCCAACTATGAGCATAAATACACAAACCCGCACCCACAGGGACAGCACTCGAAGAAGAAAGGCTTGATGCTCCTGAAAGTCATCCAGCAGGCTAGCTCTGGAAGGTCCTGCGACCGCATTGTCCAGGGATGACAAGGAAGACTGCACTGCTGGTGGAGATGCTGGGGTCTTGACCATCGTCGGAGAAGGAGGCTTAGGATTGGGCACAGGTTCCTCCGTCCTGATCTCGGAATGTGCGTCCAGTACCGGGCCCGATGCGGCTGCTGACTGATGCTCCGATGTGGCCACCAAGAAGTGCTGTGAAGGGGGCATCGTCACAACCGGAATGCCCCACGTTCTCCAATACTGCCACTGTGTTGGCCACTGGCCATGCTGCAACTGCGGAGCCGCAGATGAGGGAGCGGGCTTGTGCCCAATGACGCCAATGGGACCTGGGTGATGGGCTGAACTGGCCCTCTGTACCGGACGTACCACCTTCCAGAGACCAGGGAGGTGCCATCGACAGCTATATTTGCTTAGAGGTCGTGGCTACTGGTGATCGTTGACTAGGCGTAACTGACTGGTAACCACACCAGGGAGAGCGATACTGGTGCCAGGGAGACCGGCAAGAGAGTGAGCAGTGCCCAGGAATAATAGGGGGAGCGACAACCCCGTGTGGTGAGTAGCATCGAGGGGATCTGGATGCCAGCCTGGGTGACAGATGATGTGACTGGGACCTGCCCTTGGATTCTCGACACGACGACAAAGATCACTGTTTTCTGTCTGGCAACCGGCAGTATTCCCCTGTCCACTGACAGGTCTTAATGGTGGGCTTGCACTTCTGAGGAGTCTTAGCTAGGTCCTGTGGCGCCAAGGTTGTCACTGGAGCAGGTGGAGACCTGTGCTCTCTCTGCACCTGGGGAGCCTGGGATTACGACAATGCAGGCATGGGTGTGGATCCCATACACTTCTCGGAGTCGGTGGTGGACCTTTAAAGGGGCTGGGAGCCCCAGCCAGGCAGGCACATTCGCATTGCTCCAGAGTAGCCTGGCGGGCAGGCCCGGGTCCTTTGATAGATGATTCCTGGGCCTTCTTGCTTGGTGCCAGGGAGTGCTTCTTTGCCTTCTTCTTCGGAACCAGCAAACGGTGCTGGAAGGAGCCAGGTGCTGGTGGTGCGCTGCGCACAGAGACCGCGGCCCTTGGTGTGACCTGCCTAGAAGGCTCGGAAGCTGGGCAGAGGGAAGACTCCATCTGGAGAGCCCTGAGGCAGACATCCCTCTCTTTTTGGTTGCAGGGCCAAAAGTTTTTTCAGATCCAGCACTGCTCCTTAACATGTGACTCCCCCAAGCACTTAAGGGTCACTCACAGATATAGGCCTGTTGCAATCCGAGCAGGACTTAACCCCGTGAGACTGGGGCAAAGTCCCCGCTGGGACCCTAAACACTTAACGACTACTTAACACTACTATATGCAAACTATGTACAAAGGCCCTAAGTCCAAGGAAGAGAAACTGCTAGCTCTTGCTAAGCAATAAAGGTACTCTGACCACCACAGGCAGTAAGATGGAACTGAGGGGGCATAGGGGCGGAGCATGATTTAGAGGGCGCCGCAGCCGGCCCTACGGGTACCGCTAAGGCAAAAATCTCTGACAGCCGTGCCCACACCTAGAATGGAATCGACATGTGGAAACAGTCGAAGGAGAATGAACGTTTAAACAGCACATTAACTCTTTGTGCTAATGGTTGTAGGGTATCTTACTGTTAACAAAATTCACTTTTAAGAAAGGTGCAATCCTATAATGCAGTGTTTCCGAAACTTGGGACGCTGCTTGTTCGGGGAAAGCTCCTGGCTGCGGTCCGCCACTGCAGGCCAATGGGGGCTGCAGGATGCGGCGCGGGCCAAGAGATGTACCGGCCGCCGCTTCCCACGGCCCCCATTGGCCTGGAGCAGCGAACCGCAGCCAGTGGAAGCCGCAATCGGCCGAACCTGCGGACGCAACAGGTAAACAAACCGGCCCGGCCCGCCAAGGGCTTTCCCTGAACAAGCCATGTCCCAAGTTTGGGAAACACTGCTATAATGGGTTGGAAGGGAGAACAATAATAAACAGCATTATGCTCTTACCAGTTTTTTTGTCCTCAGTCTCTTTCTTGTCTTCTTCTATTCTGGCTTTCTTTGCTCCTTTCTTATGATCTGCAACATTTCGTCGTCCACCCTCCCCTTCATCCTCAGAATCAGAGAATTCTTCATCACAGGCTATCCGCTTATCAGACGCTCGAACTAGTATTTAAAATTAAAAAGAAAGATTAAAGGAACTCAGGGCAAGCAGAAGGAGAAAGTTTTACTACAACAGATCTTTCAAAAAGGAATTCGTGTGAAACTGGTTTTCAGCAACTGGTTAGGAGACCAGCAGCAATTTGCCCTCTAATCAAAGGAAAAGAGAACTATGGCCAAAACATTTGCAGATACCCTGGGGTTACCTCTTAAAACATAATTATAAAGAAATGTTACAAAAACAAGTGAAAATCCATTTATTTGGTATTGCTTAGTAAGTACTGAACAAATTCAGAAGCAAGATGATTAACTGCAGCAGGGAAAGTGTTCTGATTACAACAGTTAGGCAACAGATTAAGATGACAAGAAGCAGCTGTGAAACTACCACTACTGATATCATGGAAGGTTAAATGAAGCAGTTGTCTCTTAGGTATGGTTTAGAAATAATAAATATCAATCCTTACAATCATATGATCCATACAACTTAAACCTTATAATAAAAAACAAGTTAAACCTGCTGTGATTAATTCAGAAAGTGCTCTGACCACCCATCTCATATCTACCAAGTATCCAAGAATTCTTTTCAGATTTTTGAAAAATTCTCTCATTTCATTACAGGAGCTATATTGATTCACTTAATAATACAGGTTTCAGAGTAGCAGCCGTGCTAGTCTGTAGTCGCAAAAAGAAAAGGAGTACTTGTGGTACCTTAGAGACTGTCTCTAAGGTGCCACAAGTACTCCTTTCCTTTTTACTTAATACTGTTTCTGAAGGTACATGACATTCAAAATTTTAAGAGGCTGTAACCCATGTTCTCTTTGGGTTTGCTGTTGTTCTGGGCCAGATTTCCCAGCCTGGCCAAACTGCTCTTGTGGCAAATTTAGAATGAAAGGGAGCCTCCTTGATGCTCCAGATTGTTGATCCAGCTAGAAGCCAGGTTAGACTAGACTCTGGCATATATCAGAACAGTCTATTGAGCTCAACTTGTAACCAGGTACCTACAGGCCCAAAGGGTCATATATCATCATCTGGGGAGTGCCAGACAATAGAAACACGCTGTCCTGGCCATGTCCTCCCCATTCAGCTACTGGAAGGAAGTCTCTATGGGCAGGATCTTTCAACTGGAGTGGCAGAAAACAGATAACCAGAGGTGAGGATCTGGCCCATTATGTTTAAAGTGGCCTTACTCCGGGGGCATATTCTAACAGGACACCCAAAGATAACATTTCCTACTAGAAATGCGTTTGTCTGGATCTTCTCCATCCTCATCTCCACTGTCTTCATGAACAGCATCCTCAGGAATGGCTTGCATCTGTACTCCAGGTGCATGAGGCAACATACGCAAGTTCTCAAATAAACGCTGTCTGCAAGTGAAGTAGCCGATCGAAAAGTTGTTAAATATAGGGAGAGATGTAGCCTTTCCTGCAGTTTCTGGATATTTAATCATAAATGTAACAATTTTAAAGTTGACATTTTTCTATAGTTCTTCTGGTTAAACCAGTTCTGTTCTAAAGAGTGAGATTTCTCTTTTAAGAGGGGAGCAAGGCTCCACTTATTACAGGCTGGCCAGAAAAGTGGTAAATTCATACCATACTGTTTACTAATGGCAACAAAGGATGTTATTTTACACAAAAGTTTAATGCTTAAAACTACAGTCATGACCAGACAGATTTCAGATGTTAACATTCTGCTACATCACAACTAAACATTATAACCACCTGCTCCGTGGAGTGGTCATAAGAAACATGTTCTCATGCCCACATTTGTTAGTTGGTCCCAACAATGTACACAAAAAGTTTAGCTCAACTATATTTCAAGAAGGAAATCAACACTTACTGATTTCTTATACAGAATGGAAGTGACTTTTTCATTCTTACAGATATTTAAATTGTTTTGCCACAATTGCTGAATTAAGAACAAAACATTAGTGATACTCATAAGTCCTTACACATAACATGAATTATTTGAATGACACAAAAAGACACTTCTGCAGGTTTGTTACTCAGAATAAAATGCTGGATGTTTCCTATGAATACAAACATAAGCCTCTAGCAGCGACCTACGGTGCTTTACAACTACTTTTAACATCCCAATTGATTTGTAGAACGTGGCGAGACTTAAAATTACAAATACATTTTAGGATAATATTTGAAAATATTTCTCTTCCTATTCTGTGACTAATTCAGTTTTCTGGGTTTCCTCTGCTAGAATGGACATTACAAATTCCTAAAGCAGTTCTACTTTACTCTACTTACAGGTGTTTGATGTCGCAGAAAGAGAACCCTGAATTCAGGTCATGGCGGATAAGCTTTTCCTACATTTTTAAACCTTTCATAGCAAGTCTTCCCTCTATGTTCAAGCATGAAAGGTCTCATGTTAATGGAAATAAGACAGCTCTGCACCAGAAGTAGAGGGCAATAGCATCTGAAGGTAGTTCTCAGGAGTGTCTGCAACCTGTTTTTGTGCTGGCACAAGTCTTGTCAAAAACAATCAAGACTAATGGTGCTTACTTTTAAAAAAATCACTATCTTATTGGTAAAGACTACTCACACTACTTTGACTTTAAACTGAATCTATGCTTCAAAAAGAAGGCAAATCAAATCTATTTCCCCCTAAGTCATTAAAACCACCATCACTGCGATCCTAAAGCAATACACTATATAAATAAAAGTTGATAAAGATGAGGTTTGATTAGGTAGGAAATTTATGAAGTATTTCCACCAACAAAAGACTATGATTTTCAGACTTTCCATTCTCAAAGAAGGGAACATCTACTTACTTGATCTTTTCCATATACTCTGGTGTGTTCTGGTTTGTCATATTTGATGGACTAATATGCAGTTTGAAGTCTGGTCCAAAATACTCAAAGTAGTCATTGTATGGCAACTCTTAAAAAAAAAAAAAAAAAAAAAAAAAGATTTCAGCCACCTAAAAAGCTCGTTTTTAGGCAGCTTTTTATACAACTCATAGGCTGCATAACAGGACTTTAAATAACATACTGGCAAACTTCAGATATTGGATGAATATACAACTACAACTTATAATGCTTTTAAGTATAGTAGAAAACCACTATATGGTGTTTTCCCTTCAAGTTGCTCAACAAAGATGAAGGATGAACTAAAGTTTGCCGGTGGAGAATCCCTGAGATTCAATCTGCATCCCAGGCATAAGAAACATTGATATCTGGGAAATGAGACTCAGCAGAGAATGATTTCAATCCCAGTGAATGCAATATAGGAAATCTCAATGGACAAAATGAGATTTGATTTCTTTAGCCGTAAAATAGGAAACAAATTCTGGAACACTGCAACATGAGGTAATATTTTACAGACAAAATGCCTAAGATTCCCATTGTTGGGAGGAAAAAGATGATTAACTGAGGACAACTTGCCATTTGCCATCTTCACTATAGTTGAAGTCAAACCTGAAAGGCTTATATCAGAGAGTGCTCTCAACCAAGCACATACCAGAGATTTTTCTGCTCATAAGATCACAACTTGATTAACCTGGATATCAACCCACAGCATCAATAACAGGGAATGGTTTACTATGAAAACTAAAATGTCTCCTGATGGGTAATTTAATTCATATTCTAGAGAATATATTGCCCATGCACCTCTGTAGAAGCAGGTGAAGTCTTGAATACCAAGGAAGTATGATGCATTCTATTTGCTATATACAATGGTCACATTTTCTTATATAAACTATGGTAAGTACATAAGAGACCTCTTTAGGGATGAAGCAGTGTGCTATCTCCCAATGCTCTTGATTGGTTCATGAGAATCAAATCCTAGAGACAGACTCTTGGAAGAAAGCTTTGGGTAAAGAACCCCTCAGATGGATTCCAGATATCAGGCTGGCAGCAGGAGCTACTGAAATAAGTGGAACAGCAGATTTAGCCACAAGGCTCAGAAGGGGAGCAGAGGAGGGAAGATATCTGCTTTGGGGGGCTGGGTCCAGTGTAAACATGTCTACAGCAGAGGTCAACTGCTTTACACAACTGTTGCAGGTTAACTTCATTGTTACAGAAGTTGGGGGCTTCTGGTAGAGGTCGTCTCAGTCACCCAGCATAGGTTCAGGTTTGAGATACAGAAGATAATCAGACAGTGCACACCCCATACAATGCGGTAGGAGTCATTAATGTGGGGGAGTGGGGGCATGCAAAATACAACCTCCTCCCAACCCCCCGACAGGGAATGCTAATTCATCGGCTAGGAACAGCATCCAGAGGTATCCAGGTGGCCTCAGGACATTGAGGATTCCACAGTAGTTAGCCTAGAGTATGATTATGCAGGAGTGTTGGACCTCATGGAAGTTAATCTCTGCATTACTAAAGAAAAGATACTGAGGGATGAATATACTGACATCATTACTGCTGAACAGAGAAGCTCTGACAGAAAGTAAGCTGGAACAGGACAAGCATGGCAATGAGAAATCTGAATGACCAAGGGACAGCTAGTACCTGGGAAAATTGGGAAGTCGCTTTTTTAATCTATGCAGATGTTATTTTGGAGACATATCTGGAAAAAGCTCAGTGTTGTTCAAATATATGGACTTAATCTGAAAGGCATTTAATACATTTGGAGGCATAGCTTGTTTTAACTGGGATGAGGAGCTTGGACTGAGGGCTGCAATGCAGACAGGAATCTGGTTGGACATACCACATCATACACTGTGGTTAGAGGGGATGACACCACAGAGGACAGGTGTTCAAACTGACAGTGGCCTATTTAATCCTCTGAAAGCCCAACAGAGACCCCAGCCTCGTAATAACATTTGCTAGGCACTTAATGAAAACAGTTGTTTTTGGAACATCTGCAAATGTAGATGTGCTTGCAAGATGTGCTTCAGAGCCCCCAAGGCCTGCAACTGGTACAAGTTACAGGGAAATCCCCTGTATGGCAAAAGACTGGTGGTAAATCCGGCTCACCTTACATACCTCCGGGTCCAGGAAGAGAGGGCAGAGGTGGTGGACCAGGAAAAAAGAGCAGAGCAGCTGACAGTGGGGTGATGGAAAAAGCTTTGTTTCCACTTAAGCTTAAAGCATTATGGGGACTCTCCTTCGGGACTACCCTAACAGGTCAGATGGAAGAGTATTTTCAGTTTAACATTCCATATATGGGCTAAGAAGTCATGTAACGTCCAAAAATTTGAAGTCAAACAAATAAGTTGGGTCACATGGTAAAGAAAAAGACCACAAAGGAAATAAGTTTAAGAGTTGCAGGGCCATTCATTCATTTATCTGAGAAACCCTTAAGGTCTTCCCCTGGGCTTGGTTCCCAAGAAGGTACCCAGAGAATATCACTTGTTTCATCACCTGTCACATCCACAGGGCAATTCAGTTAATGAAGTGACAGATTATGTTTAGTACACTATTTCCCTATGATGAGGCTGTGCACATGGTTAGGACTTGTGGCCCAGGTGTTGCTGTCAGCAAACTGACATGAAGTCATCTTTTCTATTATATTCAAATTAAAAGAAGGGGGAGCTTTTTTTTTTTTTTTTTGAGAGTAGGTTTTTTTTTTTAAGTAGGCACCCCCCGGGGGTTCCTTGCTTCTTGTTTGAAAAATAAATCACAACAGTGTGGGGGGGGGGGGGGGGGGGGGCGCGTTTTCAACAGTGTGTCCCACACTTTAAAAAATTTTTTTTTTTAGGGGGGGGCAAATTTGGGGGGGGGTGCCCGCCTCCGGGCCACATTCTAGACCCTGGCTGATAAACCAGGGGCACCTCTGGAGCTGAAAAAAGAGGGATCCCTCTACTAAGCTGACCCACCTTAGGCCTGAGTTAGATGTGTGGACTATGGTATATGCAGACTCGCCTAAGATAAGTGGGGGAACTTCTGGGATTGATTGTCAAGGCAAGAGTAGCTAGGAAGGTTACACTGTGGGAGCTGCAATCTATTAATGGGCATCTTAACTTTGCATGCTGAGCAGTGGCCCCAGGGCAGGCATTTTGCATCTGTTAGCGGCCACCATAATAATATCAAAAGCCAACTGTTTAATAAGAGTTAATAAAATGACTGAGTATTTAGGAGTGTGGGAACAGCTTGAATAATTTTAATGGAGGGTGTCTTTTTGGATGGAAGAATAGATGATAGAGGCAGATTTAAAGATTCACCCAGATACATTGGGATGAATAGGCTTTGGGATATTTTACTAAGGAGGTGGTGGTCTCAGAAACGGCCCACTGGTTGGTTACAAAAAGGGATTAGTAAAGGGTATAATATTTCTGGAATTCTTTTCTATTTTAGTTGCAGTGAGTATTTGGGGAATGGGTTTTGCAAATAAGTGTGTTTCTGTAGTGACAACAACATGGAAGTGTTTCGTGTTATCAACACCAGTCCCCCAGATTGCCCAGGGTTATGAGTTTGGAAAGGTCATCTGTATGCAGTGTTTAAACTTTAATCTATATATATATGTTGCCAAATATTCTGCCTGGGATTGATAATGGCATAGCCAATGCACTATCTCGATTGCAGGGCGACAGATTGCAGGACCTGGCACTGGGAGCCAACAAGGAACCTGAACAGATGCTGGTGGCCCTTTGTATCCATGGCATAGGATGGCTCTCAGAGCAGTACCGAGATTGGTAGTGCTGCAGACATTTAGGGTTTATGACAGGAGTTTTAACGATTTTCTGCAATTTCAGAGAAATTGCCTATGATATGGTCTATTCCACAGGACCAGATAATTCATTACGTGGTGTTGCAGGTAACCCATGGGCTGGCATCATCTACCATCTCTGGTTGCCTACTAGGCCTTACAGTTGTTAGTTGGATGAGGGGTTACCCAGATCCTCTTTGCAGGCTGTTAGTTCAGTGGTTCTTAGTGGGATGGTCTCGAGACATACACCCTAAGGAAGATCCTTGACATCTCATCACTGTTCGGATGCTTAGGGATTTGGTGCAGGTTCTAAACAAAATATGCAAAAGTGGACAGGAGGTGGTCCTGCTCAAGGCTGCAATCCTGGTAGGTTTTTTTGAGCTTTTAGAGTCAATGTCAAGTGAACTAGTGCCTGGTTCAGTGAAGGATACTTTGGGAAGGGCTTTGGAATAGAGGGATTTACAGTGGGAGGAGTGAGCAGTCATCTTGACACAGAGGAGGTAAAAAACAGATCAGGGAGGGCAAGGTGAGTCCATAATGCTACAGGAGGGCAGTGAGGCAGGGATTTGCCCAAAAAGGGGTGTTAAGAACTTATATGGTGATGAGACCAGTTGGGGAGGGGACACTCTTTATTCATGGTGACAGATGACAATTTCTCACAGTTGTGAGAAAGGGGCTTACAAGGTCAGGAGCTACTGGGACATGACTCATTCTGACTCATTCCGGATCAGGGCAGCAATGATAGAGGCCCAACTAGGGCAAAGACAATTGAAGCAATTGGACGATGATATTCAAATGCGTGTAGAATATATGTGAGACCCCAGGTAGATGATCGGAACTAATTTTACTATTTCCAGTTTCAGGATCATGCAAACAAGTCAAGCAAATGGTGGTGTGAGACTGTGGGCTCAGTATTATACACTGGGCACACAGGCAGCTGCTAACTCATCAAGAGGTTTACAGCTGGGCCTGCATGATGAGATATATCTGAGCTCGTGTGGAAGGAAGGGAATTGTCTGGCACAGCTGATGCCCCTTGTATGCTCTGGCAGCTTGGGGGCAGGCACTGACTGTGATTATTTTTCATCTCAGTGAAAATAATTTAGGAATATGAAAGGGGATCAACTTGATGATCAGAGCAAAGAGGATTTTGGTTAGACCCAGGATTTTTTCCTGGGAGTGATGATTATTTGGTCTGAAATGTTACAGTGCAGGGCATAGCAGAAAAGTGTAAAGCCTCTGTGGGTTGATAAGGCCAGAAGGTATGTGAATAGGGAGGTGGACTGGTCATCACTCATCTGGAAATATCTTATTGGGCACCAGAGGCAGGTTGGGGTACACTGTCCATATGAGGAGTGGATATATTTTTGTCCGATATTAGGGAAGAAATTGGTAAAGATTTGGGAACCTGGGGGGGGGGGGGGGAGCAGCCCCCCCCCAACCCCAGCACTGGTGGTGGTTGGGGAAGGGGGGGGGGTTTTTTTAAAAGGGGGGGGGGAGGGAGAAAAAGGAAAAAAACCCCAAGGGGGGGGGGGGGGGGGGGGGGGGCCCCCCCACCAGGAAAGAGGCCGACCCCCCCCCCCCCCCCCCCCCCCCCTAACCCCCCCAAAAAGGGGGGGGGCCGGAACAAGGGGGGGGCTTATGCAGAAATGATTAAGAAAATTATTATGACCTGCACTGTACAGCTTATTTTTCGGTACTCCCAGATATTTTAAATGAATAAAGTTGCAGCCTAATTAAAGCACATCCCTTGCCTTCTGCTTTTCTTCCAGCATGGCCAGACAATGAAACTACAATCCCACAGCCTAAGAATCACTGTTGTCTGGGCAACGAGAATCAGCAGAGAATGAAACACAGAACACTTAAGAATGAAAAGCATTGAAATCAATTGTTTCTGTTTGCGTAGAAAGGGGACAGAGGGGCATGTTTGGGAAGCTTGAGGGGAGAAAGCAAGTCTTTTTAAGGACAAGATTGAAGGAGATCGTGGATAGGATGCATTTTAGACTTGTTAGCCTCTTAGAATCTGTGAAAGGGACCTCAGAGCTGACTGTACATGGATCATTCCTTTAACTCTTCCGATAGTGTGGGTAAGGTTGCATATATCTTCTGTAGTGGTACTACCTTTTCTACCGAAAGGAAAAAGATTCACTATTACAGCGTTTAGAAAAGCATTATCCTGCATAGAAAAATCTGAGGTGAAAAGAACCTGAGGACTACAAATACCAACAAAAAAAGCTAAGAGCAATGTGAAGGAAGAATGCACTGCCTATACTGGCTGAATGGGATCACTTCACACGCCAAGACAATACAACAAAAAAAATCTCAAAAGGTAGAAAACAGTAATCACTCTGTTCCTTCAATTGTTTTTGAGTTACAGAGGATGACGCAGAGGAAGAGTAGGATGTAAAGTGTGTTTCCTGGAGGCTTCAGAAGATACAGGACAGAATCTTCTTTCAGGAATAACTAAGTCAAGAGTAATTCTACTGAAGACAGTGAACAGAGATGAGAGAATCTAGCATAAAATGTCTAGTAAGAAAAATGTTGGAATTAGCAAAACTTTCCAAAAACAGAGGAAAAAGGCAAACGACCAAGCCAACAAATAATTTTGAAATTTTACTATTAGCCATTCCAAATGTGGTCTGAAAGATACACTGGCCCAAGTAAAGACGGTTGAAACTTCTGGGGTGTCTATCTCAGGGTTTTATACAGCTGCCCATCACCATAGTATCTGAGTGCCTTCCATGAAAAATCAATACCAACTGTAAAGTCCCTAATATGGGTACAATGGAAGAGTTGCAATCAAGACATTTATGGTTTAAGGTCAAAGGTAGCTTCATTTAACAAAAGTGAAAAACAGCATATTTGTTTACACCAGTGGCTCTCAACCTTTCCAGATTACTGTACCCCTTTTAGGAGTCTGATTTGTCTTGGGTACCCCCAAGTTTCACTTAAAAACCACTTGCTTACAAAATCAGACATAAAAATACAAGTGTCACAGCACGCTATTATTGAAAAATTGCTTACTTTCTCATTTTATAAACTGGGAACGCATCACTTGGAAGTAACAGAGGAGGAGAAGGACCTCGGAGTATTGGTTGATCACAGGATGACTATGAGCCGCCAATGATATGGCCGTGAAAAAAGCTAATGGGATCTTGGGATGCATCAGGCGAGGTATTTCCAGTAGAGATAAGGAGGTGTTAGTACCGTTACACAAGGCACTGGTGAGACCCCATCTGGAATATTATGTGCAATTCTGGTTTCCCATGTTTAAGAAAGATGAATTCAAACCACAACAGGTACAGAGAAGGGCTTAGGATGATCTAAGAAATGGAAAACCTGTCTTATGAAAGGAGACTCAAAGAGCTTGGCTTGTTTAGCCTAACCAAAAGAAGGCTGAGGAAAGATATGATTGCTCTCTATAAATATATCAGAGGGATAAATACAACAGAGGGAGAAGAATTATTTAAGCTCAGTACCAATGTGGACACATAAACAAATGGATATAAACTGGCCATCAGGAAGTTTAGACTTGAAATTAGACAAAGGTTTTTAACCATCAGAAGAGTGAAGTTCTGGAACAGCCTTCCAAGGGAAGCAGTGGGGGCAAAAGACATATCTGGCTTCAAGGCTAAGCTTGATAAGTTTATGGAAGGGATGATACGATGGGATAGCCCAAATTTGGCAATTAATTGCCGTTCAACTATTAGCAGTAGATATGCTCAATGGCCTGTGACTGGATTTCAGATCGGGTGGGATCCGAGTTACTACAGAGTGTAACTCTGGTGTCTGGCTGGTGAGTCTTGCCCACACGCCCAGGGTTTAGCTGATCGCCATATTTGGGGTCGTGAAGGAATTTTCCTCCAGGGCACATTGGCAGAGGTCCTGGGGGGGTTTTGCCTTCCTCTGCAGCATGGGGCACGGGTCACTTGCTGGAGGATTCTCTGCACCTCAGAGTCTTTAAGCCATGATTGGAGGACTTCAATAATTCAGACAGAGGTTAGAGGTTTGTTACAGGAGTGAGTGGGTGAGATTCTGTGGCCTGTGTTGTGCAGGAGGTCAGACTAGACGATCACAATAGTCCTTCTGACCTTAAAGTCTATGATTCTATTATTTTTACCATATCATTAATCAATTGAATATAAATATAGTACTTACATTTCAGTGTACAGTATATAGAGCAGTATAAACAACTCATAGTCTGTATGAAATTTTAGTTTTTACTGACTTCACTTGGGATTTTCATGTAGCCTGTTGTAAAACTAGGCAGATATCTAGATGAGTTGACGTACTCCCTGGAAGACCTCTGCATACCCCCAGGGGTATGCATACCCCCTGTTGACAAAGTATCAGACTCAAGGTCTAAGAGATTAAAACAAAGTTGCACATACCAGAACTACATTAAGTTCCTAAGGGATGCTGGATTTTAGGTGATGAAAAATTTATTTGCTACCCATCCATAATGAACTGGACTAATAAGTTTAAGAGTAAGTTTGGTTCCGATAATATGTGATAGAAAGCAACTTCACAATTCTTATGAGAGTTTAGACAGAAGAATATATTTCAGAATTAATATTTACCATTAGGAATTTCACAGTCTAAGGCAACAGCAGTCTCATATGTCCAACATCGAGCAACATTACGAATAGTATATCCTCCTCCTCCTAGCATCAGCAGCGGCAAGTTAAAAGTTTTTACAACCTCCACACATTTAGCATGACCTACCAAAAAGATTAAAGAGCAAATTAAAAAAAATAAATAAATAACTATTAATTTCTAGTCAAAAAATCAGATGAACCTAATTAAAATGAAAGAGTGCTAGAATTAAAACTTCAGTACAGCACTTTTAGCTCTCAGCTGAATTAATCTCATTTGAACAAAAACAGTGTCAGGATTGGTAAATGAGAAATGGACAGAACCTGTGGCACAATATTTCCATCTTAACATTTTCTCCTACTTCGCATTAACACCTTTGCAATTCTCTCTTTTCCAAAAAGTTGTCTTTTTTATAACTCATATAGGCATGCAAGGACAAATCTAGGGCCAGATTCTTGGATCAGCGCAGAGCAGGAGCCAGAAAGGAGCAGGCTGCACTTACGTGATCCTCCCTGGTTCCATATTGACCCCAGCACACTTCAGAGCAGTCGTTGAGTGGCTCTGGAGTATACTAGCTGATTAGATTCCCAACGAGCTATATGGCAGTAAGAGAACATCAGTTATGGGGACAAAATCTCCATCTAGGGAGAAACAGCTACTTTCTAGATCTTTAGTGCTGCTAGTATGTCACAGAATGGAGCACATCACAGTTCAGGATCTGGCCTTCACTCAGTGATTACTTTGAGGATAGTCTTGTGGTTAGGGTATTGGACTGGGAATTGGGAGATGTGGGCTCAATTTCCAGCTCTCCTAAAAACTTTGTGTGTGAACTTAGATAAGTCAGTTGGGGTGGGATTTTCAAAAGCATCTAAGACAATGGTTCTCAATCAGGGGTCTGATGCAGAGCTTTTTTGGGGGGGGAAGGAGTCCAGTGCCCTCCATAGGGCTAAAGCCCTGAGCCCTGGAACCCTCATAAGGCTGAAGCTAGGAGCTGAATCTTGGAGCCCAGAGATCCAGTGCCACCGTGGAGCTCGAACCTCGGTGCTCCCCACGGGGCTAAAGCCAGGAGCTGCAGGACTGAAGCCCCAGTGCTCCCGTTGGGCAGAATTCCCAAACCCAATGGATGGAGTTGGGAGGGCAATGCCCCTCCCCGCAAACTACAGTATCTTACCCAGAGAGAGCCAGTTCCAGGGGCAGCTCCATCCCCCACCCACCTTCTGTCCACCAAACCCCTGGCCAGGTCGGAGGTTGGAAACTGGAGCTGGGCAGTGCAGGACGTCTGCTGCTCTGGCGGGTGCCTGGAGTGGGCAGCCATGGCAGTCCCCTGTCTCCTGGGGCTGTAGCTGCTCCTCAGCTCCCTTTGACTGCTCGTGCAGCCAATAATAGCCACCCAGGCAGGGGGACTCAGCTCCAAGGCTGACAGAGTCCTCATGGAGCAGCGACTACAAGTGGGGGGACCCTGCCAGCACACAGCCCCTAGCAACCCCCCTGCCTGCACACACTCCCAGCTACCCCTCTCCCTGCATCCTGAGCTACCTCCTGCCAGCACCCTGAGCAGTTTTCAAACTCTTTGAGCTGCGCTCCCCCAGTTTGAGTTATAACTTTTGGTTGCTCTCCCCCCACTCCAAAAAGCCCCAATAGGCGGGGTGGCCTGCTGAGGTGAGTCAGGGGTTGGAGGTGCTATTCCCTACCCGGGATCTGCCCCACCCCACCAAAAGAAGTCAAACTATGCCTATGCCCGAGCCTCCCCTCTCCCCCCCCCGACCCACCCCCGAGTTCCCCCATCCTCCGCTGGGCCTTGGAGTTTTTATAGCATGTTGGGGGGCCTCAGAAAGAAAAGGTTGAGAACCCCAAATCTAAGAGACTTACATCTTTCAAGGGAGCTTGTGTTCCTAAGTATGTATCTAGCTAAACCTTTAAGAATTGTCACCTTAAAGAAAATTGAGATGATTCAAATAAGTTTGAAGTATGTAACAGTAGTCACTAACATAATGAAACAGTTGTCAATATAACTTTTTTTCTCTCGTTAGAAAAGCATACTGACAGAATTCAGTAAGTATCAAAAGAACATTACTTCTCCCCATTTTGCTAATACTAACATATAATTTTAGTTGTAGAGATTGAGGAAGCTTTTTTTTTAATTATTAAAATCAACGGAGTTCTGGTAAATTTAATAATGTGGACAAATGTTCAAGTAAGGCACAGCACATCTTAGTTTACTAGCAAAATTCAGCGCTGCAACGAATATTCTCAATTCAAGAAGATAACTAATTTGGCATACCTGATAAAGTATTCACAGTTAAATATAGCTAGTCACATCACAAAGTGACCCCACAGTTGTAGACTATGTACATTACAGAAATTTAAATTCAGCATAAGATTGCAGAAATCAAACATTTGGTGTATTACCCCACAATCTAAAACTGAGCTGCACAGCTATGGAAAAGTGAGGGAAGCCCAAGGAGTTCCAAACCAAAAGGAACTAAAGAGACAATAGCAAAACAAAAAAGGGAGGAAGAAATGAGACTAGGAAGAATAAGATAATGCACAAAATCTAAAGAAGAAATGGTTATGAAAAGGTAGAAATGCAAGTTGCTTAATTTTAGTAAATGGAAGTGGGTGGGAGAGAAAAACAATCGTCTTTCTCTCTCTGACTACCAGTCTCATTCATGATGACAGGCAGTGAATTGGACTGGTGGCCAGAAGAGAACTAATATCCACCGACTTAACTTGCCAACTTCACTATCAAATAATATATTTGAGGGAGAGAGGTTGATCTGGAGAATGAAAACTCCCTTCATCTAAATAAAAATTAATCAAACCCATGCATTCTACCTAACAGGCATTATTGTGAATCTGTGAGCATTTTCTCTATTGTTTACCTTTGACAGTAAGATTAAAACACCCCAACCTGTCACCAGATAATGAATCTGCTCCACACTGCAATACCACGGCACTGGGCTGGTACATCTCCATCACTTTGGATATGATCTATATATAAACAATATAAAATAGCAAATCTTAAATTCAACCTCACAACAACCAGTCAGCTTTTCAAATAGGGTTTACACAATACTCACTGGCTTGAATATCTGCCCATATGATTCATCATCTATACCATCTCTCATTGGAAAATTAACTGCATAGTATTTGCCTTTCCCAGCTCCAATGTCCTACAAAGGAAGTTGACAAATATACTATTACTAAAGAAGACAATGCTTACCAAATCACAGTAAATCACGTGTCTTAAAATATGTGCTATTATTCAGAACAAAAAAATCAGCTTGCTTAATTCCCTATTCTTCTAGAAAATCATTCTGAAGCATAAAATGTATATGCCAAAATTAAAATGGAGAAAGTGTACCATCCCCAATATATTGATTTTTTAAAAATGTAATGATTAAGAGAGCAAAAGTACCTTTATATGTTCCTCCATAAAAATGGAAGCTTTTAAAATAGAAGAGAAACTGTACTTGCACATTGGAAGGGAGTAACCAGCCACATGACCAATAATCCCCCACCCCTCTGGTTGGCTGATGCATGGAGTAACAATGAGACCTTTAAAAATAAGCCATACATTCACAGAGATGTGAAATGTGCCATAACAGTCTATTAAGTGACTGATATGAGCAACAAGAAATAGAGGTTTCCTTTCCCCTAAAAAATGCTTCCAATTATTTAAGGAGGTAAAAAGCTTCCAAAATAAAAGGGAGTTTACAAATAGGTCTGAAAATCATAATAAGCCAGAGGATATTTGTAACTGGCTTAACATTGGTCAATTATTGGAGAGCAGAATACAGCAATCAATTGTTTTTTAAGTATGTTGACCCAGGTCCAAATTTTACTGGGTTAATTGGAAAACACTGTTGCTGCACACATGGCAAATTTTACAGTGAGCCAATTTGAGTATTTTCCAGTTTTTTGGAATTGAGCAGTTTTATTGGCAGTACAATAGCAATCTGTCACCTGTGGAAACTGCCTATTTTTTAGAAAGCCACAAACTAGGAGGTGAACTCAGAATTCTAAGTGGTAAATGATTCTCAACCCCTCCCCCACTCTTTCACCAGCAGCATGGATTTCCCTTTCGATTTCCCCAAGCCTAAATTACATTATTAAGCTTGAAGTGATAATCATGCACGTCAGATGCTTACTTAAGTCACAAGAACAAATCATCTAAAAAAGCAGGTTAAAAAAGTCTGAAAAAATAATCAATAGTTCAATTACTTCAATAAATAGTTATGAGGATACAGGCACCTAGACAATATTGTCCATGGCACCCAAGACACACATTTTCATTTTGGTGATTGTCAGACTAACATTTTCATAGGCCTATGCTGGTTTCCATTGAAAATACTAAAAGCTACCATTTTTTTTCAGCTGCATCAGCCTAGGTCACAAATATGTGCATCTGTATATGCAGCACTAGATAGATTCTCAACTGATTTATCAAGGCACACTGTGAAACAAGAGTGTCTATGCAGGCATCCTCCAAGTTGAAAAGAAGCTCAAGTAGTTGTCAAAGCTTAACCCCAAGGGAACTGATGTGGCTGAAATAGAAGCCTCAGGAATTCAAAAAGCTGGAGAACAGAGCAGGGAGCAGTTTTCTGCACACAAAGTTTATTCATCAAAACATTTGGGGTCAATCCGAACAGGAGGTAGTGCTATTCCTCCCTCGTCCCCCCTTTTACCCAACAGCCAAGTGGTTAGAGAATTCACCCAAGCTATTGGGAGACCAGTTCAAACCCCTACTTTGCCTGATGTGGAACTTGAGTCTTTCCACACTGCAGGTAAATTCCCCAACCACTGAGCTATAGCTAGGGCCCTTCGTTTTCAGTTTTCATATTATTTAGTTTTTCCCAGGAATTTATCAGGAAAGTGTGGGCCCCTTACTGAATGAGGGAGGCAACCTAGTGACAGAGGATGTGGAAAAAGCTAATGTACTCAATGCTTTTTTTGCCTCTGTCTTCACTAACAAGGTCAGCTCCCAGACTGCTGTGCTGGGCATCACAAAATGGGGAAGAGATGGCCAGCCCTCTGTGGAGATAGAGGTGGTTAGGGACTATTTAGAAAAGCTGGACGTGCACAAGTCCATGGGGCCGGACGAGTTGCATCCGAGCGTGCTGAAGGAATTGGCAGCTGTGATTGCAGAGCCATTGGCCATTATCTTTGAAAACTCGTGGCGAACCGGGGAAGTCCCGGATGACTGGAAAAAGGCTAATGTAGTGCCAATCTTTAAAAAAGGGAAGAAGGAGGATCCTGGGAACTACAGGCCAGTCAGCCTCACCTCAGTCCCTGGAAAAATCATGGAGCAGGTCCTCAAAGAATCAATCCTGAAGCACTTGCATGAGAGGAAAGTGATCAGGAACAGCCAGCATGGATTCACCAAGGGAAGGTCATGCCTGACTAATCTAATTGCCTTTTATGATGAGATTACTGGTTCTGTGGATGAAGGGAAAGCAATGGATGTATTGTTTCTTGACTTTAGCAAAGCTTTTGACACGGTCTCCCACAGTATTCTTGTCAGCAAGTTAAGGAAGTATGGGCTGGATGAATGCACTATAAGGTGGGTAGAAAGCTGGCTAGCTTGTCGGGCTCAACGGGTAGTGATCAATGGCTCCATGTCTAGTTGGCAGCCGGTGTCAAGTAGAGTGCCCCAGGGGTCGGTCCTGGGGCCGGTTTTGTTCAATATCTTCATAAATGATCTGGAGGATGGTGTAGATTGCACTCTCAGCAAATTTGCGGATGATACTAAACTGGGAGGAGTGGTAGATACGCTGGAGGGGAGGGATAGGATACAGAAGGACCTAGACAAATTGGAGGATTGGGCCAAAAGAAATCTGATGAGGTTCAATAAGGATAAGTGCAGGGTCCTGCACTTAGGACGGAAGAATCCAATGCACCGCTACAGACTAGGGGCCGAATGGCTAGGCAGCAGTTCTCTGGAAAAGGACCTAGGGGTGACAGTGGATGAGAAGCTGGATATGAGTCAGCAGTGTGCCCTTGTTGCCAAGAAGGCCAATGGCATTTTGGGATGTATAAGTAGGGGCATAGCGAGCAGATCGAGGGACGTGATCGTTCCCCTCTATTCGACAATGGTGAGGCCTCATCTGGAGTACTGTGTCCAGTTTTGGGCCCCACACTACAAGAAGGATGTGGATAAATTGGAGAGAGTCCAGCGAAGGGCAACAAAAATGATTAGGGGTCTAGAACACGACTTATGAGGAGAGGCTGAGGGAGCTGGGATTTTTTTAGTCTGCAGAAGAGAAGAATGAGGGGGGGATTTGATAGCTGCTTTCAACTACCTGAAAGGGGGTTCCAAAGAGGATGGCTCTAGACTGTTCTCAATGGTAGCAGATGACAGAACGAGGAGTAATGGTCTCAAGTTGCAGTGGGGGAGGTTTCGGTTGGATATTAGGAAAAACTTTTTCACTATGAGGGTGGTGAAACACTGGAATGCGTTACCTAGGGAGGTGGTAGAATCTCCTTCCTTAGAGGTTTTTAAGGTCAGGCTTGACAAAGCCCTGGCTGGGATGATTTAACTGGGAATTGGTCCTGCTTCGAGCAGGGGGTTGGACTAGATGACCTTCTGGGGTCCCTTCCAACCCTGATATTCTATGATTCTATGATTATCAGTGTTTATTACCACAATAACAAAAACGGGTGAAAATCAGTGCAAAAAAACCTTAACTTTTCTGGGTAAATATCAGTTTATTTTGATGGATGGAAAGACAGGGGAAAAAAGCGTTCAGTAGATTAATGCTTTGAATTTCATTCAATGTGGTTTGCTGCAGAACGAAAACAGAACTCAAAACACAATGCCACCTTTGAGTTTAAGAAACAATACATTTCCAATCCCCAAATAAAACTTTTCATTTGAATAAACTGTTTGCTGTTGTAGACTCAGAACTATTAGCTTATAAATATTTAAATTTAATAATAGGCCACGTCCTTTTCAACGCATACACTTAACTTTATCCTTTTCTCCTGTTTTTTTTTTTTTTTAAACTTTCAAATACTTCATGTTCTGAAACATATGCTGATACACTAAAATGGGAAAAAAATGAAAATTTGTATCAAATCTTTAAACCGTTATCTGCTAACAGCTTGAAAGGTGTATGTGATGGGCATCAGATTCATCAGTACGTTCAGATGCGCATGCACTTCAGAGCTTGCGTGGGTGTCTAAATGGGCCATCTTGATTATCACTACAAAAGTTTTTTTTTTCCTCCTGCTGCTAATAGCTCATCTTAACTAATTAGCCTCTCAGTTTGTATGGTAACTTCCAACTTATCTGTATGTATGTGTATATCTTATTATACGTCCATTCCATGCATCCGATGAAGTGAGCTGTATCTCACGAAAGCTTATGCTCTAATAAATTTGTTAGTCTCTAAGGTGCCACAAGTACTCCTGTTCTTTTTGTTTATTGTATCTTATAGACTGGGGGTGGGCAAACTTTTTGGCCTGAGGGCCACATCGGGTTTCCAAAATTGTATGGAGCGCCGATTAGGGGAGGCTGTGTCTCCCCAAACAGCCAGGCGTGGCCCAGCCCCCGCCTCCTGTCCGACCCCCCCCCCACTTCTTGCCCCCTGACAGCTCCCCCGGGACTCCTACCCCATCCACCACCCCCTGCTCCCTGTTCCCTGACCACCCCCAGACCCCCACCCCTGCTTGCCCCCTGCCGCTCCATCCAACCCCCCCTCTCCTTCCTGACTGCTCCCCCCGGGACCCCTGCCCCATCCAATCCACCTGTTCCCCGCTCTCTGACCGCCCCGACCCCTATCCACAACCCCGCCCCCTGACCACCACCCCCAACTCCCCTGCCCCCTTACCATGCTGTCTGGAGCACCGGTGGCTGGCGGTGCTACAGCCGTGCCATCCAGAGCACTGGGTCAGGCTGCGGCTCTGCAACTGTGCTTCCCAGCCGCCCAGAGCATTGCGACAGCGGGACAGGGGCTGGGGGGGAGACTCCTGGGCCAGAAGCTCAGGGACCGGGCAGGATGGTCACACGGGCCGGATGTGGCCCGCGGGCCGCAGTTTGCCCACCTCTGTTCTGGACTAATACATAGCCTCACTTCAACAGACAGCTATGCATACAGACTAATGTATTATCGTAATATCTCTCTCTATACAGATAGATACAGATTTAACTCATGCAATGTATTGTATTTTCCTAATAAAACAAGTTATTTTTTATATATTTGAATGATACAAAAGTAGGGTGAAAACTGGAGGAAAAAAATACTTTTTGTAAAATCCGGGAATTTTTCAGTAAAAATCACTTTAAACTGAAAACAAAGGGGCTTAGTTATAGGATATTCTGGGATGAGTCTCTCTCACTCTCCCCTTAAAGCTGTTCAACTAGTGGTTAGAGCACTCACTTGGGAGGTTGGAGACCTGGGTTCGCGTCTCTGTCACACATCAGGGAGAGCAGGGATTGGAACCTGTGCCTCTCACATCCTGGTTAAGTGCCCTAACTACTGAATATTAAGGGGGCAACACCTCCTTCAGTGGTTTTGTGGATGGCATTTTCAAGTTTCCTTTGCTTTTAATAAAAAAGCAGTTAAAAATTTCAGTTTACTCAACTGAACAAAAAACTAGAAAAAAATATTTCAGGTTGACAAATACTTTGTTCAACACAAAATATTTCATTTTGATTGCTGGCATTTTTGTTTTGGATGAACCAAATTTCTCTTCAATTTTTTTGTTCAGCTATCAGACAAAAACAAAAAAATCAATTATTTGCACAGCTCTATAGAGAGGGCATCTAAAGTAGAAAGATGTTCTTTCTGGTGGACACAAGACTTGTTCTATGTTTCATGGAGACACTATCTCAATTTTGGAAATTAACTAGAGAGGATATGTCAGAGGAAATTAAAGCCTGACTAGAGCCCACTGACATTGACAAACAGAAGCTGACTGTTTTGATGCAGTCTGTGGGGGCTACGAGAAATATACTAGGCAGCCAATTCCAGCACAGAATCCTGACTCAAGGGGTGTCATAAATATAAAGGGAAGGGTAACCACCTTTCTGTATACAGAACTATAAAATCCCTCCTGGCCAGAGGCAAAACCCTTTCACCTGTAAAGAGTTAAGAAGCTAAGATAACCTCTCTGGCACCTGACCAAAATGACCAATGAGGAGACAAGATACTTTCAAAGCTGGAGCTGGGGGAACAAAGGGTGTCTGTCTGTGTGATGCTTTTGCCGGGAACAGAACAGGAATGGAGTATTAGAAATTGTTAGTAAGTAATCTAGCTAGAAATGCATTAGATTTCCTTTTGTTTAATGGCTGGTAAATAAGTTGTGCTGAATGGAATGTATATTCCTGTTTGCGTGGTTTTTTGTAATGTAAGGGTTTGCCTAGAGGGATGCTCTATGTTTTGAATCGGATTACCCTGTAAGGTATTTACCACCCTGATTTTTACAGAGGTGATTCTTCTACTTTCTCTTTAATTAAAATTCTTCTTTTAAGATCCTGATTGCTTTTTCATTGTTCTATAAGATCCAAGGGTTTGGGTCTGCGTTCACCTATGCAAATTGGTGAGGATTTTTATCAAGCCTTCCCCAGGAATGGGGGTGTAGGGCTTGGCGGGATATTTTGGGGGGAAGACTTCTCCAAGTGGGCTCGTTCCCTGGTCTTTGTTTAACATGCTTGGTGGTGGCAGCACAGGGTTCAAGGACAAGGCAAAGTTTTGTACCTTGAGGAAGTTTTTAACCTAAGCTGGTAAGAATAAGCTTACGGGGTCTTTCATGCAGGTCCCCACATCTGTACCCTAGAGTTCAGAGTGGGGAAGGAACTTTGACAAGGGTAAATGTTTGTTAATTCTTACTTTAAAGGGCTTCCTTAAGCCTTCCTTCTCTTTTATACTTATACTTACAGGCTCTTTTAAGAAAAAAAGTGAAATCCGGACATTCTTTTCTAATTGGGATCTGATAGCTAGAGGAGAACTCTCAAGAAAACATCTGCATCCATATACATTACAGTTCATTCCAAAAAACTATTTACAAGCAGTGATTATGACGGTGAGGGATGGAGGTCTATCACAGTTGAGGTATCATTTGTCATTCTGAAGGTCCATAAAAATACTAAGAACAGAGAAGATACTTCTCTGTTTGTTTTATTTTATTTCAGCCATCTAAGCATTTAAATCCTCTTGTCTTCAAGGTGGCTAGCTAAAGAATCCAGGAAACTTCATGAGAAGTGACTTCTCACCGACAACTGCAAACTACCCAAGCTTTCAGAAGCAACCTGGCTTCGTTAAATAATGATAGCACTTTGCCATTACAATAATCCTATTTTGGCTGCTTTTTGTTTAAATCAACAGTACCACCTTGTGGCCAGTCAAGTTAAGTCACAAAAATATGCACCTCTGATTTCTATAACAAGTGATATAGAAGGAATTTAACAAAACCAAGCAACTCTAGAACTGCGTAATTGCCACCAACAGCCAGACTGAGATGGACATTCAGCGCATTAGTGACTTAACATTTAACTATCAGTCTCCACAATATCCACTGTGAATCACCAACTCTTACTCCCAGCTCCACCCTGGGAATACTGGTGATGTTGCATCACATAACAAGATCTCCTGGAGGCATCGTAAAGGTGGCAAGAAAATAATGGTGCCTACCTACCTTTCACAACAACATTTTGTGTAGTTCTGAAAACTTTTAAGAACTATTTTATGCCCTTTTGAAAGTTACAATTAACTCCTCAAACACAGCTGATGTCAGTGACACAGCACACACTGGGGTGTGAGCAAGAATCTGATCCATAATGAACCTGCATATTAAAAAGTTTACAGTCAATAATATACTGTAGTCTTACTACTGGAGGTATTCAGCATACATTTCTAGAGTTAAAATGGGACACCTTTTCAGATCACATACAATTGTAGAAACCACCTCTGCAAATGGGAGGGATTCTCCCATTAGCATAGGTAATCCTACCTCCCCGAGAGGTTGTAGCTAGGTCAACAGAAGAGTTAATGCTTGCATTTTTACAGTGTATACTTTACATTAGAAACAAGACAGAAATTCTTCTGTTGACCTAGCACTGTCTACATGGGGACATTGGTCCACTTAACTACACTACTCAAGGGTGTGGATTTTTCACACCCCTGACAGTTAAACAGACCTAATTTTCTAGATTAGAACAATTTTAGGGGGAAAAAATTAATCTATTCTAAGTAAGTGAACATGCAAAGCCAGGAAATCAGGTTCCTAATTCCAAATGTGCAATAGACTCTGTGACCTCTTGGGCAATACACAATCTCTGTGCCTGTGTTCTCTATCTGTATTTACCAACCTCACAGTAGTTGCAAGGCTTAATATGTTAATATATATGAAGAGTTTTGGTATCCTTAGATGAAGAGCACTATAAAAATGCAAAGCATTAACACTAAGCAACATGAGAAATATTTTCCAACACAGTTGGCATTTTTCAGATGCACACAGTATTGTACTGTAAATATCCAAATTTTGATTGTTTGTGACAGATGAACCTTTTCCACATAAAAGAACATTATCTGCACAGAGCACCTATTTTTCCTACTGTATGTACATGGTTGAAAATGCAGAGGCCATCATCAAATACACATCTTTTTCCTAAAGAAGTGCCAAAGTCTAGTTTCAAATATAATTGACTTAAATCATCTCAACTATTTAGTAAGCAGCTTGTCCATTTCCGTGTGGGCTGGAGTTAATTTGCTAAAAAATATTTCCCAGGCGAATTCTGAAAATTTGTCAGGGAGCTGAGTACTCCACAGAATATGGCATTTCCCCCCCAAAATTTAATTATTGTGAGAAGGAATGATCACCAAACACTAAAATGAACATTTGCAAGAAAAGAAGAAGTAAAAGCTAGTTTAATCAAGTCATAAATTCATGTTTGACCTTACCCTTAAGTCCCCTGTGCCAGGAAAATATTCACCATATTTATGGAATGATACTGTCATGACACGGTCCGTTGTATAAAATGCTTCTTCAACACCATCACCATGATGGATATCAATGTCAATGTATAACACTCTTTGGTGATATCTGGAAAAACCATATATATACACATGTGAAAAAAGGATGTAAGAGAAAGTGGCGTGATTTGAGTTGTCAGTGCTATGACATTCAGGAGTCAGTATATAAATATAATTAAGATTTTATTTCCTGTGCTATCTAACCAAAAACATAACAACTGAAGCTATCATACCGTTCAAAGAAAATAAACGTAAAAACAAAGATCATTGATTCATTTCTTCAACACCAAAAGCATTCTACATTTAACCTCATTCTGTCACCCAGTAAGAATCTACATTTTGCAAGCCAATTCTCTTCTCACGTTCCTCCCCTCCCCCCCCAACCCAATCACCACCAATTTTGTGATAACTGGGCCTACAAATTTACCCAAATTGTGAGCTCAACTGTAAAGAGAGAATAAGTGTCACAATAACTGATAACAAATGTTAATGGGAAAAGGTGCAAAAGCAAGATAGAAAGACTGAATTAGTACAAACAAGAAAAAGCTTATTGATATAACTCAAGTATTGGTAGGCAAGAAAAGTGTGGAATCAGAAATCAGTGAACAAAAATTGGTATCTTGGAAACTAGGCTTAGTTGGTGAACAAAATAATGAGAGAACGCCCACTACTCTCTTCTGGAGTCCTCAAAAAGAGACTTTGGCTGGGGCTGGCTTTGAAGCATACTATTGTGACACTAACTGAAAAAACGAGAGGCGAAGGACCAAGTTCCATCGTCATGGTTGCCTCCCCCACAATCTCCTGAAACCCTGGACCTCCTTTGGCATAATCCTGAGAAATGTCGTGATAACACTGGGATTGAGACAGGGACCCAGATGACATCACTACCTCCTGCTGAATCCTGACCACCACCTGGGATGGGAGACTGTCTCCTGCATGCTGTCCCTCCAGGTCCTTTTCCTTTCCCACCTTATTTCTTTTCTTTCTTATCCCTCTAATAAAAGTCTAGATTAGCTGGGCAAGATTATAATGTTGCAACACCACTGTAAACTTGTGACCAGAAAAAGGCAAATAAATGCAAACCCCAAAAAACTTGATGCTAGCACAAATTTGCCACGGCATGGAGTGGCTGATAAGATAGCGTGCCATGCCTGTGTTTTTCTAGCAGTGAGGTTGCACATAAAAGTCAACAACAGAGACAAAAACTGCATTTCCTTCTTTCCTGTTTCCCCCCCCCCCCTCTCCTTTTGTATGCACTTGTCTTGGTTTGTCTTCTTTGGAAATGGGACTGGCTTTAGCAGCAGCAACATATTTAATACCATCTAAGAGACTGTCAGACAAAAGTTTTTTTCTTTCTAAAAACTCTCCTGCTAAAAGGAAAGGGAACAAGGGATGTTGCTAAAATGAAAGTATGATGCTCTGTACCTCGGGGAAATACCTAGCACCCCCATGTTCATCCTTGTAAAATGATTGTGTGGCATCCAATGCAAAGTTTGTCATGTCGGGTGTCTTCGGAAGGCTCGTGATGTATTAAGCATTGTTGTTATAGTGATGTTATAGGTTATAATTTCATGTATATAGCTGAAAATGTATCCTCATGGCTTAAAGCAAGCAAGGACAAAAACTCTCCAGAAGCAGAGGGGCAGTTCACACTTCATCAGGCCATGGATGGGACAAACCCAGTCCAGCCTCACAGGAACAAAGGGCGCTGCCCTAGGCAGCAACAAAAGAATCTGTTAGACTCTTGAGGGAGTCACCCCCTTCCTTTGGTCAGTTTGGAACTGTGATGTGGTAATGCTCACCTGACTCTGAAGTGTGTGGGGGATGGAGGGCGGCCCAAAGCCAAGAGGGAAGAAAGGACATGATAAAAGAGACACACATTTGTCATGCTCTTCCTCTCTCTTCCACCTACAGACACCACCACCACCACCAAGTGACTTAAGAGCTGATCAAAGGGGAGAGCCTGGCTGAAGAACAACCAGCCAGCCTGTGGTGAGAAACATCTAAGTTTGTAAGGGCACTGGAAGTGTTAAGATCAGCTCAGAATGAGTTTTGCTTTTATTTCATTTGACCAAATTTGACCGGTTATGTTTTGACTTATAATCACTTAAAATTTATCTTTACAGTTCATAAATTTCTTTGTTTATTCTACCTAAAGCAGTGTGTTTGGTTTTCAGTGTGTCAGAGGCTCCCCTGAGGATAACAAGCCTGGTACATATCAATTTCTTTGTTAAATTGAAAAACTCATATAAGCTTGCACCGTCCAGCGGGCATAACTGGACACTGCAAGACCGAGGTTCCTAGGGTTGTGTCTGGGACTGGAGATATTGGCTAGTGTCATTCAATCCAAGGAGCAGCTTACATGCCAAAGGCTGTGCGTGAACAGCCCAGTAAGGCTGGCTCCCAGAGTCAAGGATTGGAGTGACCTAACAGATCCCCGTCCAGATAACACCAGAGGGGAAAGTCACAGAAAGCCTTACTTAATGTTTTACATTTCAAATGCTTTAACTTTTTCCTTCTTTTCTGTATTTTTAATAGAAGGTTAAAATGATGTTTAATGGTGTATTTGCCATGATACTAAGCAGGCTGAGTCTCTGTATACCAAACTCTGAACCTTGCTTAACACTTTTTAATGTTGGACAGTGACAGGGTCATGTTAACATCTTGACTCTTTGGGCCCATATATTCCATCTAAATTAATACACTCATTTCCCCTTTTCCCTTACTTTTTTCTTTTTCTCCTCTGACGGAGAACTGCTCCAGCCCCTCCCTTTCCTTTTCATGGTCATAATCTGTTTTGTTCACTCTGTCAACCTCAGACATTTTCTTTCAGTCTCATTTTCCTTCAATAAGCATGGATTTTACAATAGAAAGCTTCCCTCTCATGGTACATGTGCTAAAGGAATTGTCCAAGAACACTGTGCTAGTAAACATAGAGAATTACTTTAGTTCAAAAAATACAGTTCCTGTGAACTCCTAATCTTGTAGTTTGTCTCCCTTTCCCTACATCCTCAAATATGAAGTGTTTATGCTTCCAAATGCATTTAACTTAATACATACAATATTACACAACTGGAAACCTGTTTAAAACTACTCATGAAGTTTCAAATAATCTAATATTTCTCAACCCTTGGAGACAATTTTTTATAATATTGTTGTGGAATAATGTAAAATAGCAAGGTCTGAGAAGCTATATACTGAAGCTTCCTATGAATAAGCACAATGAAAAGTTTCCTTTCCTTATAGGTATAACGAACAAGACTACTTTGCTCAGTCACGAGCTGACGATTGGAGCCCTGGTTATTGCTGAGGCAGGAATGCAGGGCTCATGTCCTGGGTGCATGTGAAGGATTCAGTAGAGTGGGAGGTTTGGATATTGACAGACTCTTCTCTTTGCATTCGCCTTAATTTTTTTTAAACACTCTTTTACTGTGTTCTCACAGATTACGGCTTTCCCTTTCCATCTCAACTTGATGTGCCTGGCAGACTGCCTCTTTCTTCAACTCAGAGGGTCCCAACCAAATACCTAGAGGTTAACTTTCCTAAAAGATGTTGTTTACATTTTAATTAAAGGGACAGAGTCAACTTAAAAATATATCTATATACTTCCATCTGAAAATTCTGCACTTAGTGTTGTTACAGATAACCCCAAATGCTACTGGTAATCAAAAGGTAATTTTATCTGATTTTCCTTTTTTTCCAGTCTATTTGTATGTCGAACAGCACTCTGCGTAGTCACTTTCACTGTTTTGCTAATGGTCACTTAATCCCCTACAGCAGTACAGGAGTAATGTAACTGTGTGATCTTCTCCAAGAGAGTGCCCACCAATAACAGCAGCAGCAAAGCTGGAACCAAAAGAGGAAGCAGGCAGCCGCGCAGACAGAGAGAAATCAAGGATCGGGGAGGGGGAGGGGCCTGATTATGTGTAGTGGTGTTTCCCTCATGCTCCTACAAAAGACCCTTATTTTAAAAAGGAGCATGGAAGAACCACCTCATATTTTTAAAGATTTTTTTTTAAATCTCAGGAAATATGTTTGAGTAGGAAAATTGTATTTTTTAAAATATGGTCAACTTCAAACTGAGAAAGTCACTTTACAGGAGAAGGTAGGTGTCCCTGTAAGCTTAGTACCTCTAAATTAAGCCCTGCTTAAACTTTTAATTTTCCTTGCTTGTATGTGATTTAGTATGGATTTCGTGTTGTAACTCTAAATGGTGACAGATTTTTTATTCATATTGTGGTGGTTCAATGTATCTGATGAAAATTCAAGCCACCTTGATTACTGTGCATTTCTTAGTCACCTTTAAACATTTTAACACCCAGGTTTTCTGACATCTTTAGATCACAAGGTTAAACTTACTTCAGCAGCTCTAGGATAGCAAGCACAATATCATTGACGTAACAGAAACCAGATGCCTCTGACTTCTTAGCATGATGGAGTCCTCCAGCCCAATTAACAGCCATGTCAGTCTGTTGTCTATTTAATTTTACTGCCCCAGCTAAAATCATTAAGAAAAGAAGTTAAGTGTCTTTGAAAGTATTGGAAGAAAAACTGATAACATTTCTTGTAACAAGATTACCTCTTTATGCCACTTTTTTCAAGTCTATCTTGGACTTGCAGTTTTTAAAAATTTTAAAATATTACCATATTTGGTATTAAACAATCTGTGTGAAGCATCGAATCTGTCAGCCACACAAAGCCACATAGCACACATTACTACGATCAAGCGCTCGAAAGCTTGTCTCTCTCATCAACAGGCTATGGTCCAATAAAATATATTACTTCACCTACCTGGTCTTGCCACTATCCTGGGACCGACATGGCTAGAACAATGCTGCTTATGACTAGTAAAGCATTGTACTGATTGGTTTTAATTGCTACGGTCATATTAATATCTTTAAAAAAAATTAAGTCCACCATATACCTACCAACAGAGCCTCCTGTTGACAGCTGGCAGAACTCAAACAGTCCATCAAACACAGGACAATCTTCTCCAACATTAACTGTGTAAGAAAAAGTGTTGTTAGTTTTCAAGTGCATATTCCTAATATGTGCACAGGTATTACAAACGTGTTACTCAAAACACTCAAATGTAACCAGTAGTATGGTTATAGTTCAAGTTCAGCTGACATTTTCATTGCATTCCATGTTTTTGGCAATTTAGTGATTCAACTGTTCAAAGTTACATTGTACTGAAACTTGACATTTTCAGCATATAGATATACGTTTAGGGACCATAGGAGCTTGTAGATGAATGAACCTGAACTGTTGCTTAAGGTATTTAAAATTTTCCACACAAGTCAGACGGAGTAATCTTTTTTACGACTAGGAAGAGCTTTGACTAAATATATGTACAATTACAACAGTTTTGCAATCCAATGTAATATACCCTCTTTGCACAGAATCATAAATGACACCTTCAAATATTGTAGTTTATTTTTTGAACAATTTTATAGGCACTTATGTGATGTGCCTATTATTTCCCTCAAATTAATTCTTAATCTTAGCTAACTTCCCTCCAGCTAATAAAGGCCAATTCTAATATTCAGCTCACTCTTCTTTTCACCCAGTACTTTTTACTTTTCCCACTCATTTCTGTGATGCTTCTTCGAAGGCAGGGGAAGTAACACTTCTCTATTCCAGTGGTTCTCAAACTTTTTTTCCCCCACAGACCACTTGAAAATTGCTGAGGGTCTTGGTGGACCACTTAATGATCTTTCCAAATGTTGTTTGTACTGTTAGCTAACTATTGTAAAACACTTTGGATAAAAGCGCTATATATTAAAAAAAACCCTTAATAATAAACTAGGTTTTTTTGTTCTACAAATAAAAGCACACAACTCATATTTTAGTATCACTAGTCTTACCTTTGTTGCGATGGATGTTCCCTCTCTCCCAGGCCACGGCAGCTCCTGAGCTGGGGCTGGGAAGGAGGGGGATCTCTCCCTCTCTCCCCTGCCACAGCAGCCACAGAGCTGAGGCTGGGAAAGCAGTCAGTCTCTCCCCGGCAGCCACAGCCCTGGAGCTGGGGAAAGTTGCCTCTTTCTCTGGCCGCCGCAGCCCTGCATGTCCCAAATTCCTCCCCCCGCCCCGTTCTCACCCCACTGCCCCCTTCCACCTACCCCCTAATCCCCCCAAGGCCACCACCTCACCTTACATGTGCATCTTCTCCAGTGTCCAGGCACCTAATTAGTGGAGCCACACCTGCGCGGCTCCACTAATTAGATAGGCGGCCCTTCATTCTCTTGTGTGCAGCCACCCAGGTGTGCACTTTAGAGGCAACTATCCGCAGGCCACCTGAATGGAGCTCGTGGACCATAGTTTGAGAACCTCTGCTCTATTTATAAAGCTCTTATCTTAGAATGTGTTTTAATTTTTACAAGCAACTAAGAACCGACAACTGTTAGAAGTGAAATTTGACCAAGTACAATGGACCTACACATAGCACCTACCTCCCACTTAAGTTCTCAGAATGGGGTGTATTGTATTGGGGAGAATTTGACCCCATACTAATAACTCTATACTCGAAGAGCATTTGGTGTTCTGAGTAATCTTGAGACAAAAACTAGAAGCTCTTTATAGACTGACGTAAAGGAGAAACAATGCCATGAATCCATTGTTAAATATTTAGACAACCAATGCATGTTCACACTTTATATATATGAAGTACTTAACAATCCAGTACATGAATAAATAATGTAGACTTAGTCCAATTTGGAGACTTACATCTCTGCATCTGCTTGCTATATTCAGACATATTGTCTGGCCTTATTGATCGAAGAAATTTGATGTATTCGTCACTGTGGTACTTGGTCATTTCTTCAGCTGTAGCTTTATGGGGTCGCTGTAAACAAGAAAGTAAAATTAATTTTACTCTAACAAAAAATAATATTGCAACAAATGTTAGTTTTTAACAAATCAGATTAAATCAGAGACAAAATTCATGCAACCAATCTGAACTACCTTAAAGGTATTATAAACAGACACTGGAAAAACTCTGTACCCTAAGCATATTTGGATAGAGAGTAAAAGTAGCTACAACTCCATTAACAAAATTTAACATGCAAAATATTTTTATAGTGCAGCCTCCATTATGTTTTGCAAATTGTGCTGACATAATTAATGATGGCAGAAATATTATATATTACCCTGAAACAAAAATGTTAAAAAAAACCCCAAAACAAAAAAAACCAACCCACCCTCCCCACAGGGGCCTAACCCTGCTTTTCTGCCACATATGGGTAGCAAGCAGTGGCTCCTGTGTAAGTTGAAAAGTTCTGCTTCATTTTAAGTTGTCAAAGACTGGGGGGAAAGAACGAAGATTAATTAATGTTTCCCAAATAGAAGAGGAAAATATCAGCTTCTAGAAATAATTCCTCACATGTAATGGGGGGAAAAAAAGGTTTAAAATTGCTGTATCTTTTAAAAGTAATTTAAACATTTTCAGTGTCCAGACTGCTGCTTATACTCACATAAATTTCCATTTTTCTGTACAAGCCATAATTTAGCAACAAGTTGTGAGTCATACGGATCCTATGGGGTTTCATGGGATGGCCCTGCCCATAATAATAGTTTCCAATATCACCTATAAATGATAAACAATTATATTTAATAGTATAAGATATAACTTTTCACAGCATTCCCATCCCCCATATTTATTTGTTAATTATTTCTTCTAGTTGCAGACCTGCATACAGGGATAGACATAAAAGGGTTAATTTTTAAAATTTCTCCAGCCAGGTTTGGGAGGAGTCACTGTTTATGAGGTGTGATCAGGATCTTTAATTATATTGTCAAAACTATTGTTTAACACAGAGGTTTCACAGCATGACATGCAGAACAGCTGGGCAGCCACATGATGTTACTGGGTCCACTGGGGGGCACCAGAAAATGGATATGGAGCTTTCATCAGGGGCATTGTTCCATTAAAGGGTCTGCCTCCTCCCAGAAGCAGCTACTCCCAAAACAACTGCCAAGGAAACCCATCAAAGGCAGCTGCCACTTGAGAGACCCACCACCTCTCCAAATAGGCTTCTATGGTGGCAACTATCTAGTAGCTACTCGTGCTGTCAAAGAAACTGCTAGTGAAGAGACCACCACCAATACTGCCAAGGCCAGCAGCCAGAGGAACCCTCAGAGAACCAGCCATTGGAGGCAGTCAAAGGCAACCAGGTAGATAAAAAACAGATTTGGGGGGGGGGGGGGGAAGGGGCCGACATTTTTTATTCTGTTTAAATTATTTTAAGTTTTTCTTTAAAAAATAAGCCTGCTTAAATTTAAATCTGAATTTAATACAAAATATATTAAGGCTTTATCATATAATCTCTTAAACCATCTAAATAAAAAAATAAACATACTGAATCCACAAGCCTATCAAAAACTTTTGAGTTAAAGGTTGCTTTTCTATATAAAGAAGGAATCAGGGGAAACTAACTTTTGAGCTCAAGCTTTATAAATATGGCATAATAGGCCATGTACTGTATTAAGGGCTTGTTATGTTTAATAACATTTCTATGTTGTTTTGTGTGTTTAACTGAATTCCAGTTAACATCCAATGCAGCTTGACACAAATTATGAGCAAAAAATTATTTCATAAACAAGCAATACATCATTCACCATGTTCTAACATACTAAAATGTACAATTAATATGAATCTGAAAATATTAAAGATATATAATTGCTTAAATAAATGTATATTGCAGTAGCGTACCCTCTTGGGTAGCAAAAAGATGTACCAAAATCTAGTGTAAAGGCTCTATTTCGCTGTAAATGAACATGTTTTAATGGTCATACCAATCAATAAGAACATGCATTTCTTTAGACAATACTGAAAAACAAATGGAAAAGTTGATTAAAATCAATTACTTAAACCTAGGATTTCTACTTGGTGATTTAAATCAATCCACCCCAAAAAGAACCAAGGAAACTACTTCAGAAGCAGAAGGAGAAAGGAAGCTGGAGCCAGAAACCCTCAAGTGACAGAGGTGTGTCGGGAGAGAAGGTGGCTACAGCTGGGGACTGAAGCAGAATGGGAAGACACTAACAGGCCTAAACGGAGGAATAAGATAACGCGAGACAGAAAACCTTGAAGAGGACTAAGAAGTGGACTCCACTGGTGATTTAGTCTTCCTATTATGACAGGTTTCAGAGTAACAGCCGTGTTAGTCTGTATTCGCAAAAAGAAAGGAGTACTTGTGGCACCTTAGAGACTAACCAATTTATTTGAGCATAAGCTTTCATGAGCTACAGATCATCCGATGAAGTGAGCTGTAGCTCACGAAAGCTTATGCTCAAATAAATTGGTTAGTCTCTAAGGTGCCACAAGTACTCCTTTTCTTCTTCCTATTATGTTACTGTCTGAAACAAGAAGGGAGGTGGATCTAAAAGGCACCCTTTTAATTGCCAGATGACTCGCAGTTCCTGAGAACTCCAAATTTAAGCTTTGTTAAAGTTGTTTTCTTTTCAACCAAGCTTCTTGCTAGCAGAAGGCAATAAACCTGACAGTTCTGCAGTAACTAATTTTCTGTATAACCTATTTTTGTTTCGTGTTTTCTAGAATATTTTTGCCCGGTCCATTGTGTAAAATAAATGCAATGCCTATAACCTTGGATTCCATTTTATTTTGAGGCTTTTGATTCTCAGTGACAGAACATATTACCAGCAGGAGAGTGAGTTTGTGTGTGGGGGGGTGGAGGGTGAGAAAACCTGGATTTGTGCTGGAAATGGCCCAACTTGATGATCACTTTAGATAAGCTATTACCAGCAGGACAGTGGGGTGGGAGGAGGTATTGTTTCATGATCTCTGTGTGTATATAAAGTCTGCTGCAGTTTCCACGGTATGCATCCGATGAAGTGAGCTGTAGCTCACGAAAGCTCATGCTCAAATAAATTGGTTAGTCTCTAAGGTGCCCCAAGTACTCCTTTTCTTTTTGCGAATACAGACTAACACGGCTGTTACTCTGAAACAGAACATAGAGCAAATGTTACAAATGTTATAAACTAGTTTTGATCTAATTTATTCAGTCCTTATGTCTAGGGAGTCCCTTTGTCAAATATTTAAGACAACCTTAAGTGAATAGCCTTAGGGTGCCAATTAGAAGTTTCAGAGTGCATCCTAAAAATCATTCCTGAAAAGACAAGAGATAGAGGTATTTGAGAAAAAAAGTTGGTCACAAAGTGCCCATTAGGATGCATATTTTACATATGGTTTGTTTCATTCAGAAACATTCCCCTGCACATTGCTCATTTTTTCAGAATCTTATTTCTTTAAAAAAAAAGTAAAACGAATGTTTTTATTCTCTCTAATGTCTTATTTCATCTTCAGAATCAAGCTTCCTTTAGACTTCTCAGCTGTACAAACTTTTGCCTTAATATTAGCAGCTCACTGACTGGATAGGACTACCCTTTGCGTTACCACCTTCCTTTATTTCAATACACAGATCAGCTTTTGATAATATAAGCATACTATTTCTACTCAGGCAACTAGGGCATTACATAAAATTAACAGAGTTTTTATTCAAGTTTAGTGGATAAAAAAAAGTTACATAATCTCTTTAGTCCTTAAGAGAATTATCTATCTAGATCGTTATATGAAGGTCACCACCTTCGTTCTGACAGCATATCAGACTAACACTGGACAGAGGTTAAGATTAGTAATTTTCCCACTTTCATATTTCACAGGCCACTTTGTAAGAAAGAATCCCATGGACCCGTCTCCCCTCTCAAAACTTTCTGTACTGTGGACCATCGATTCGTCAACCATTTTTAGACCACTGACTAATGATAATTCAAATGTAATTGTTATTAGTAGGCACTCTATTACGTGTATTTTTAGTTCTCATATTTTGTCATTTAGCACAAAAAAAGGTATGCCACTTCATTATCAGGGACAAGAAACCTATTTGACGGTCCACAGGCTTTTTTTTTTTTTTTTTGGCAAGAGTAGGTGAAGACTGGGTGGAAAACTATTCACACTTAACCTGAAAAAGAGTTGGCTTGTCTCTTGTGAAACTGTTGCCAGTTGTGAACCTTAGAAAGTAACCAGTAGGAGCAACTGCAAAAGCAATAACAATCCACAGTGGAGAATAGCTTGCTTCCAATGGCAGTTTGAGCACTTGCAGACTACAGACCATGGCAGGGCATAGAGAAAATTCTAATCTTGGACGTAACTGCATTATAAACCATATATTGCGTACCAGGTGACAGCCAAGACTTTGAATTTTTACCAAAGAAAAGAGCCACTGCAACTATGGAGTACCAAAATAACAAGCTCTGACTAACCCACTAAGGCACGTTCTGTGCCAGGTCAGTGCTCCAGTGGCTCCCAGCCAGCCCCCAGGTAAAGAACACCCCCACAGTTGATAGGTTACAAACTCAGATATTATTGTGGCTAGGTCCGTATTGGAGACAGGAATAGTTTTCAGGAAATTGTACCAAACTGGCATTACTTTCTTGTGTCCATGAGCAAAGATGAATAGAGTAAAAACCTCAGATTAAACTAACTTGAACAGACAAGCATTTTAATGAGCCAAATTTATCTACTCTGAAAAAAGTGCATCATTTCGGTTTTACTCTGATATAGCTTGACCCAGGTTGTTTTTGCTCAAGTCCTAATATTCTAATATTAAAGACCCAACCCAACACTCTGAAATCAATAGAAAGACTCACTGACTTCTGCGGGAGTTGGCTCAACCCATAAGGGTACATTCTACACTACAATAAAAGACTGGCAGAATGGCCAGGGCTATCCTGGGTCAGCTGACTTGGGCTCATGGGCTTTGACTACAGGGCCATAAAACTGCAGTGTAGATGTTCAGGCTTCGGCTGGAGCCTGGGGTCTGAGATCTTGAAAGAGGGAAGGGTCCCACAGCCCACACTCTAGTCTGAGCATGACCATCCACACAGCAATTTTATAGTCCCATGAGCCTGAATCAACTGACCCCGGCTCCGAGACTCCATGCTACAGGTTTTTGATTGCAATGTAGGCATACATTAAGTGAACAAGAATCTATTCTGTCTGGGCCTGATGAAGAGGGCACTCTAACCTTGTCTACACTTGCGGTGGTGTGTAGGATACACATATTTACACGTGGCAGTGAAAGGCTCCAGCAGCTTGGAGGCAGCAGGGAAAGACACTGGCAGCTCAATGAAGTCTTTGACTGCAATAAGGAAAGGCTCTGGCAGGGGGAGGCAGCAGAACACTACACTATTAAAAATAGCAGCGTAGACACTATTTCTGCACGTAGAGAGTCGTGTAGGACATATACCCTAGGGTTCAAGCATGTAGAGCACTCTACTTGATTAAGTCATGTCTCATTGTCTACACTGATATTTATACATGAACTAACTGAGCGTGCACTGTCTGTACTCTACATGCCACTGTATGTGTTGATGTACATACAGACAAGTACACAGATATTGGGATGGCTAGGTGAACTGCTTAAGTGTGTTACTACCATATTGACCACACAACCATGTACCATAGGATTACGCTAGCAAGAGCCCCCAGGGAAAACAAACAGTTGCACATCACAACCCTATAGGTCAGGGACTGGCAAACTTTGGCACACGGCCCATCAGGGAAAT